ATCATTCCTCCCTCCTCTAAGAGCTCGTTGGAATCCGAGCGGGCCATCGGATCCACTGGGGCGCAGAGGAATCCGAGCGAAGTGTTTTGAATTCTTTAAAGCACACTCGCACGACCCATCAAAGGAAGAGGAGGAGGAGGAGGAGGAGGAGGAGGAGGAGGAGAAGGAGGAGGAATGCTGCATCTCTACGTCATGATCACCCACGCCACGCGCCTGCAACACATGCTGATCCTGCGGCCGCCCCAGCAGAAATTTTTGGAGAGCGGGCTGCTAGCGTCCCTGCGGAAGGCGCTCAGTGAGTTCGGCGAGAGAACGGAAAGCTCCAGGGCAGAGGGCGAGAAGCTCGCGGCAGAGCTGGGCTTCGCGCTGCCTCCCGCGTAAGCGCGGCCGCGACTAGTTCGGTGCCTGCGGGGTTGTCCCAACGGCTTGCCCCCGCGCCCCAGCAGCTCGCGGGGTTGCCCCAATGGCCTGGCCCGCGGGATTGCCCAAACGGCTGCGCGATGTGGCCGGAATGCGACCGTGCTGGCCGAGGCGGCGACGGCGCCGAGCAAAATCAGCACGCGCGCTCTTGCAATAGAGAGGGGAGGAGGCGGCGGGGGTTAAAAAAGGGGGGCGAGGAGGGGGCAACGTAGGGAGCGGGAGGAGGGCCTGCGCTAGGGCGAGAAGGAGAATGATGGAGAGGAGACAGCAAGGACGAGGACGACGATGAGGGGCATTGCCAGATTAGCCGAGTGGTTCTTCATGCGGGGCCCTACCGTCAGAATTCGCCGGCCCAACGGGCCAGGGCGTGCTAAGATCTCCGGTACATGGTTAACAATATTTCTAGTTCGCGCGCGCGGGGCGGCCCCTGGGGGTCCCCGGACGAAAAGTACCCTGGCAAGGTCCCGGCAAGTCCCCGGTAAGTCCCCGGCAAGTCCCCGACAAGGTCCCGGCAAGGTCGGGCCAGAGATGCCGGAGCCCTGTTACAGGGCCCCAGGACGGGCCAAGAGGTCCCCAAGAAGCCTCCAAGACGGTCCAAGAGGGCCCCGAGACGGCCAAAGATCGCCCGAAGACGCCCAACAGGGCCCCAAGACAGCCCAAGAGGCCTCCAAGACGCCCCAAGGGCCTTCCAAGAGGCCTCCGAAGAGGGCCCCAAGAGGCCAAAATCGTTGATTTTCATTTGTTTTTTCTATGTTTTTTGAGTTATGGTTTTTTCGGCTTCCGGACGCTCCAAGACGGCCCAAGAGGCCCCCAAGACCGCTCCAACACGGCCCACGAGGCTCCCAAGACGGCCCCGGAACGGCCCAGGAGGGCCCCCAAGACGGCCCAAGTGCCGCCCAAGACAGACCAAGAGGCCCCAAGACGGGCCCAAGAGGGGCTCAAGAGGGGAACCGAGAACTGAAAAATCGAGCCCTCCGCCCCAGAAGGCGCCCAGGAGGCCCCAAAAAGGCCCCAAGAGGCCCCCATGAGCCCCCCAAGACGCCCCAAGAGGCCCAAGAGGCCGAAAAGAGGCCCCAAGAGGCCCCAAAACGGCCCCCAAGAGGCCCCAAAACTCGGCTAGCCCACAACGGTGCGACAATATGGGCCGGCGGAATGAGCGAAGCGATTAAATAATTCTATACTCGGCGGCGGAGGGGCTGTTTCTGGGCCCTGGGGCCGTCAAAAGACGGCCCAGAACAAAAGAATCGAGAGCACTGCGGGAGGAGTCGAGAGTTCTGGGGGCCAGCGGCTGGAAAAAATCCAGCTCCCCGAAGCGTTGGAAAACGGGGGGGGGGGCGGGGGGGGGGGGGGGGGGGGAAGGATCTAGACCTGCACTTATCCCCTCTTTGTTGTAGGGAATGCGGCAGCGAAATGGAAGGGTCCGAGAGCGCCGACGAGGTGTCTAGGGGTTACTTTGGGGTCCTCCAGTGAGGGCCCTTGGAGTCTCTCGGGGGCCGCCTCTCGGGGTCCGCTTGGCCTCTTGGACTGTCTCAGGGCCTTCCTGGGCCGTCATTGGGCCATATTGGGCCGTCCTGGGCCCTTGCTAATCAGCCATCTTGAAGGATTCGGGGGCCCTTCCTCTCCTCGCGCTTTTGACGCGGGCCCCCACGCAACCGAAATCGCCGGCGCGCCAAACGCCCTGCGACATGCAATCAGGCACCTCGAACACATGCTCTGCAGCGGCCCGAGAACGCCTCTTCCAATTCCCTGCTGGCCTCTCTTTCGGGGCCCACATGGAGGAGGAGGAAGATCATGCTGGATCATGCTGCGACACCACCCACGCGGCTCCAATCACCGTCACCGCTGTCATCACCGTCGCCACTCGACCCCTGCACAACGCCAGCACCAGCGAGCCCTGCAAGCCCCTGGCCCTGGGCCCTGAGTCGAGAAGCGACACCCCCCAGCGAAATCACAGCAGCTGCTCCGGCAGCGGCAGCGGCCAGGACAGCAGCCGCATCCTCGCCCGCGGGCGGGGCGCGGGCACGGCCCTCGGGCACCTGCATCAAGTCGGCGAGCTCTCCAGAGGGGCGGCTGGAGGAGCATGCCAGATACTCATCAATCACAGAGCCCTCCTGCAAGGAGGCACCACTCCAACCCTCGGCACTTTCCCGAGGGGGCGGCGGGGGGGCTCTCGCAGCGGCATCCTGAGCCGCCGCCTCTCGCAAGGCTACAGGTGGGCCCCGATAAAACGAAAAAAACACCCTTTCTAATTCGCGTGAGATTATCACCCCCCTGTTCGGTGGGGGGGGGCACACACGCGTTCTGAAGCCACCGACCGTCTGTCGTGGCAGTGAAACCACACCCCTGACAAAATGTCAAGCCGAATTCCTGCATTCTGGCGAGGCGGCGGCCGGGGTGAAGCTTCACGGCGCCACGCCACACCTCTCCCGAGATCGCCTCGAAACCCTCTCCATATTCTGGCATCAGACCCTGCGTGAAAGCAGAACCCGACGGCGGCGGCGGGATCGGATCGCGACACAGGGTCGAGGCGACGGCGAGCACTCGGCTCCTCGGGACAATGGCTGCACAAACATCACAGAGCCAGCGACCAGCGAACGGGCGAAACTTGTGCGCACAATCGCGGATCACCAGGTCAATTGTGGTGGGCTTGCGGACCGCGGGCACTGGAGCTCTGACCCCTTTCCCAATGTTCAACCTCGAGCGCCAGCAGCATCGCCCTTCTGGCCCTTGTTCTCACCAGCGCAGCCGTCGCATCCCACAGGTCAATCCGAGGGGGGGGGGGGGGGGGGCACGCACCACCCCCAGGCCCACTGGGCAACCACCCCCGCATAGACGTCGGCACTGGCGCTGCCCTGGCACAAAATATTTCAAACGACGACGTGGCCGACTGCCACTTGTCCTCCGCGCGGGAGGGAGTCCACAAAATCGAAACATCCCCAGGGCCACGGTTGCGCTGCGCCCGAGCCGCACGGACCCGGAAGTCCTCGTTCGGGCCCCGAGGAGAGGAACCACGGCCACCGTGCCAATCCGAAACCAAGCTCTCGCAGTCAGTAATGTCCACCAGCCCCCTTGCGGGGCCATCAGGCTGCGAGGGGTAAGGTTGCTGCTCCCTGCACCAGTTTCAGCTTCCAGTTTCCATTGTTACAGCATTGCGTTCTGCTTCCTACTGCAAATTGTCACGGCCCGTGCAAGGGGGCGGGGGGGGGCCGAGAAGGACCCTTGTTAGCACCCCCCGGGGGGATTCTCAGAATTTAAGGGGGGGGCGTGGGACACGTAAAGATACCATAGTCCCTTGCAGATTATGCTGCATTCGCGCCCCCGAGGCCACGACCCATTTTTAAATTACGCCACATTTCCGTCTCCGAGGCCACGATCCCTTACAATGCACTCCACATGTGCGTCTCCGAGGCCACGATCCCTTGCAAGTTACGCCACATTCGCGCCTCCGAAGCCACGATCCCAAGAAATGCACATCACTTTCGCGCACCCCCGGGGCAACGACCCCTCGTACATTACGACAAATTCGCGCCCCTGACGCCACGATCCCTCCTAAATTACGTAGCGGGCGCGCCCCCGAGGCCACGAGTCCGCCATGCGGAGGCTGCCGAAAAGGCGCCCCCCTTTCTCCAAAGCAGAGAAACGGCAATTTCTGCATTGGGATACGTGCTCTGCTGGTATTATTCCCCCCCCCCCCCCCTCGTTTCTGACAAATTCTGCGGCGGATTCCACATTCCCCCCCCCCCAGGCCACGACCCCTCGTAAGTTACGGCACAGTTGCGCCCCCGAGGCCACGATCCCGCGTGAATCACGCCACATTCGCGCCCCCGAGACAACGACCACTCGTAAAGTATGCCGCTGTCGATCCCTCGTAAATTACGCCACATTCGCGCCCCCGAGGCCACGATCCCCCGCAAAGTACACCAAATTCGCGCGCACCCCCCACGCTACGAACCCACCTCGCGGAAGCTGCCCAAAGGCGACACTCATTCTCCAGAGCAGGAAAAAAACCTTCCCAGAGATTGCCCGAAGCAATCCCCAGCCGCTGCCAGAGCGCTTCCAGTGAACAACTGAAGGAAAATGCCAGGAAGGCAACAAAGCGTTCAACAACAACTTGAACATCTCAATCTGTTTTGCTCATCGCCAGCCGCCCTAGCACGACGTTCCCGAATGTCATCCAGACGGCGCCCGAACATCCCAATATAGCCCTGCTGTATCCCATCATGACAGAGAGGGGGCTTGCAGCAGGGGGCGAAGCCCATGCGGATAACAGGTCGGACCGCGAGACTGTTCAAGTGCAAGACAGAACGCCTGAAGCTCAACTCTAGGAACGGTTTGGCGTCGGCCCGACAGAATCTGTCCTACGCCGCACTGGGGCACCCAAGAGTTAGGCGACCACGGGTCCTGGCACATCATCACCACCGCCGAGCCGCATCGCCTACGTCTGGGGCCCGAACTACACTCGCCTCCAGATCCGTCTCCGAAGATGAAAACAAGGGGGGCCTCAAGGCTCCGAAAAAGAATCAGAAATGCACCATTCCCCAAGAAGGACCTCCTGAGCCGTCTCCGAAGTCTCACCAAACCTGGGCACCGTGAGGTCCTTCGAGGGGACACCCCTGAGCCGCAGCGCCGGTTGGGCCGCGAGGCCCGCGAGGGCCTGGGGGATCAAAAACCCCGTTTTAGAAAATTCTCCGCGCCCGCCATTGGCTGGACAAAACCAAACACGATGTGCTAGCGTTTCAGGCTGCTCTTTAAATCGGGGACACAGCGGCGAGCAGGCGCATGCTGCGGCGACCTGCCGCCCACGAGTCCACTGGCCCCCCGAGGTGACGGCAACGTCGGCGGCCCACTCGTAGAACTTGGACTGGGGAGCGAGGCGGCTCAGCTCCATCTGCACCGTCTTCACGCCAGCACCTGCTGCCAGATCCTCGCCAGCCACATAGCGGGCCGCCTCCATCCGCTGCAGCTGCACACAATCACCCATGAAGGCCCCAAGCACATCTTCAAAGTGCGAGGCCACAGCGGTCGCAAACTGCTCGTCACCAAAAGCTGGGAACAGCCATGCATCAGGACTCTGTGGACCCCAGCCAATCTGCAGAAGAGTGGCCTGCACCGCGGCGATGGGGCCGCGCACGTCCTTCCACTTCACAATCTGCCGCTCAGCAGCTCCACGACGCAACTTGGCAGGAGTGATCGGCAACATCTTACGGATACGAGGGTTGAGCATCGGCTGGGCGAACCACAAAGCGATCCACTCCTTTATCAGTTGCTTCCTCAAGGCGATTCCAAGATCGAGAACTCCAAACACAGCTCGTATATAAAAAAAAAAAAAAAAAAAAAAAAAAAAAAAAAAAAAAAAAAAAAAAAAAAAAAAAAAAAAACATAATTCAAACACCTGCCACGCTCGGCGCCAGCAACACTGGCTGCAGCATCACGCCTCAAAGCCAACAGTGACGATGGAGGGGTTACCATAATCTGATGGCCGAAAACAGCTGCAGGTAGCACCCCAGTGCTGTAGAGCTTCTTGGTGATGAACCTGGTCTTGAGACGCTGTCGCAAACGCATGACCTTACGTTGCCTCCGTCGAGCCGGCGCACGTCACTTCATCATTCTCGGCGCAATCCTCCGTCGCCCTGCAGCAGCGCCAGGGCCCAAGTCGACAGTTGAGCGCGCGAACTGCACAGGGGCCCCTTCGCGAACCAAACGTCTCTGTAACTCCATACCAATCTCACCAGAACTGGCAACTAACTTCGTTTTGGCAGATCTTCAGTCTGGGCTTCTTGAGCCCAGCGGCCACGGCATCAGCAGAGGCGTCAACATCAGCAATCACTTGCTGCTTCTCGCCCTCTGCGGGGCCGACGGTATCACCTACGTAGCTCCACAAGCCAGTCGGAGGACAAGCACGATGGACCTCATCCAACAACTGGTGAAGCATGACTTTGGCAAGCGGGACTCCATGCCCAGACCCGGCTACAATCGAACGCGGCACTACAATGGCATCCGAAAGCATCTGGCCTTCCTTCAGCAGCCTGGGCGACGAATGAAATTCGAGCTCCAATGAAGAATGATAGCAGGGATTCCAATATTCAAGCCAGCCTGCAAGAGCAACACGAACGAAACCGAGTCGTAAAACTTGGTGAGATCCAAGAACAGAGTCGCGTGCTCAAAGGAAAGAGCGTTGGCGCCTTCGTCCGTCACAGCTCCGATAAGTGCAGCACGTAGCGCTGACGACCCAGCAGTCAGTATCCCAGACAGCAAATTGGCCAGCTGACCATTCACCTGAGTACTTCGCACGCACCTTGGGCCATATCTTGCGCGGCGTCAGGACCAACCCCAGGACTCCGTTGCCCCCTGCTCCCTTGGGGGTCGCAGCTCCAAGCGCCGAGCTGGGGGGCGACAGCCAGGCGCCAGCCGGCTCGAAGCTGTGCCTCGCCACCAGCGGCTGACGCTGAATACCCATGGGATTGAGCACGCCCACCCCCTTCGCCTTCTTCGCGGGCAGCGAAGGCAAAACAGCGCCAACGCCCAAGATGGCGATGGGGGGAAGGGGCGCCTCTCGAGCAGCTGGCAAACACTGGCCCATCATGTGCAACATATCTGCAGGCTTATCCACTGGATCGCTCCACACTGCATTCCATTCTGAAGCAGATGCCTGAAGTAACTTCTGCTTGTCCGTCGTGATCGCGCCAGTAGAATTACGGCCCTCCCACTCCAAAGGAGGAGCCCGCCTGCTTAACATGCCGATGCGCAGCCCCAGGTTTCGACGACCAGGACTCCTCCACCCACTTCATGAAAGACGCACGTGAAGCTAACAAAACCCGCGACGACGACATGCCCGCCCACTTCCGCGCGGCGTCTCCCAGGGAGGGGAGCTGGCCAACTGGAGCACAATCCATGTCAGCAGCCATCGCTTTCCACAGCTCGATCTCCTCTGCTGTGGACCTCTTGCCGAAGTACGCCGTCGTCTCATCAGCAGGTGACGATCCAATCCTGGCCCGAACCTCGCTCGCGCAATAAGCAGCCTGGTCATGATCAGCCCCGCTCGCGCGTAGGGCCGCATGCCGAAACAGTAATGTGCTGACTGCACCCCACCATTCTGCTTGCTCATTCTCCTTATGCGCACGCCCTGGATAAGAAGTGACCTGGGCCCAGAAGCAACCTGGGCCGCGAGCCCGACCTGAGAACTGCATCCAAGTGCTGGGCCCCACCTGCTCGTGAATCAAGGTCGCGCGCTCCAGCGCAGGGATCCAAGCACCATAAGGCTCATCCAACTGGGCACGCGCATCAGGTCGCCATTCAAATACAAAGTGTTGTTGCCGATCAAAAGCCGCCACCTTGCCTCGAGATCCCTCCCGTTGGCCATCATAAAGCTGAGGGGTACCTTCCCAGCACAGCTGGGTCTGAGCTTCAAAACACGCGCCCTCAGGGATGGCGAAAGACACCGACGGCGCAGGCGGCGAAGCTGGCGGCTCCACCCCGCCGAAGCCCTCCTGCAGCTCGATGGGAAGCGCCTGCCAACGCCGCCGCCTCTGCCCCTCACGCTTCTTGGACCGCTTTCCCTCAGGACCTGCCACCGCCACTGGCCGTTCACGCACGGGAAGAGGCTCAGACACCGCGAAGTGCCGATACCGTCGTTGAGCGCGAGCCGTTTTCACCGAGACGATAACTCCACAATGCGTCTTCCATGGGACACGAACTTCAGGCTTGAGCTCTAACTCTGGACATCCACTGCTCGCAAGACCATCATCATACACGCGGCCAGGCCCCTTGTCGCACGTCGCACGGCAGCCGGGCGTCACCGCGACGGAACCGAGCTTCTGGGGCCAACCTGTGTCTCGGAAGGCCTCGATGCCCCTGTCCGCCATGGCCAGCCACGGACCTGCAAGCGCTCGCGCGAGCGCCCCCCACCAAGACGTCGTTGCTCCAACCCTTCACGCCGAGGCCTGGCTGAAGGTAGGCGGCGATCAGGACCAAGTTGCCGCTCTCGGCGTGGGCCACCGTCGGCGCGAACCCGCGGCAGGGGCCCAGACGCCCAGCAACACGCGCCGACTGCCGAGCACTCTCAAAGTTCGACGTCGCCACATGTTTCTTCGCGAGGATCCACTCGCCGCCAGACAAGCCACGCTCAGACTTGTCCGAAGGGCGAGCGGCCGCGTAGGCCAAACGACAGCCGTCTTTATCAATCGACTGACAGGTGTCTGGCATGTCCTTCTCTCCTTTGTGTGTCTCAACAAGGGCCACGATGCCGCGCTCCTGCCCCTGGGCCAAGAAACGCGCAGCCCGCGGGCCCCACTCCGTTATGCTGCCGAAGATGTCGAAAGACGAGGCGTCCTCGGAATCATCATGTAGAGGTACTCATGCAGTCCCGCCCCTGCAGGACGGGCTCGCCGCCGTGCTAAACACGGCCCGCACTGGCACCAGCAGCGGCAGGGCCCTTGCCAGAGCCCGCAGCGCCGCCTTTGCCAGAGCCAGCGGCCTTGCCAGCAGCGGCCTCGCGCGCCTGCGCCTGAGCGCTGGCCTTGATGCGCCCGAGCATGGCCTTCTGGTCGCTCTCCTGCACCACGATCTTCGACTTGCTGGGCCCAGCGGCGGCAGCAGCGGCGCCAGGCGTCGCGGGGGGCACCAGAGGCCGCAGCCGTGCCACCCGCTCCGCCTCCGACGGCCTCGCCATCGGGGCCGCGCTTGCGCCGCTTGGCCGCCGCCTGGTGCGCCGACCGCGCACGCTCCAGCAGAGCCTGGAGCTCCTTCTGCTTGGCCTCCGCCTGATGCGTGACGTCCTGCAGCTGCTTCTGGAACTGCTCAAGCGCCTGCTTGTCGTTCTCGAGCTCGTCGAGGCTCTCGAAAAGCTCGGGGTCCACCCCGAGCAAGGACTGCTCGGCCGTCTCGGTCGGGTTCGCGGCCCCCTGCAACTCCAGGCGATGCAGCTCGGCTGCCATGACCGCGTCGGCGGCCTCGTCGAACTTGGACTGGACCTTCTCGAGCTGGAGGCGAGCCTGCTCCAGCGACTTGGCAGCCCTCTCCAGTGTCTCCTGCTTGCGCGAGCAATCTGCCGTAGCCTCCTTGAGCTGCGCATGCGGGGGCTTGGGCGTCGCGGGAGCCGCCACCAGCTTCTGGGACGCCAGGGTGCTGAAATCCGTCGCCAGGCGCGTCGCGTCGGGGTCCCCAGCGAGCCCAGCACCCGCGAGAGCCTTCGACAGGTAATCCCCGAGATCGGCGAGCGACGGCTGAGGCAGCCCATGCTCATGCCACCCACCGCCCGAGGACCACGGCGCCCACCACGTGCCGCTCGCAGTGGTGCTCCATCCTGGCTGAAGTGTGTTGCAAACCGCGCACACCCCTCTCCTGCTTCTGAAGCCTCCAACTCCACGCCCAGCTGCTACACTGCACGCAAGTCGAGAAGTCCTGCTTGCCATACTTGACCATCCGCTCCAGCAGGAGCTCACAAAAAAATGCTCCGACAGGAGCTCACGAAAACACTGCAGACTGGCTCGGGGAACCGAGCCTTCCCAGTTTGGCACGGTGGCGCGGAGCCCCCTGGTGCATCAGCCTTGAGCCAACATGGCTACGGAGGAGGAGGAGGAGGAGGAGGAGGAGGAGGAGGAGAAGAGGAGGAGGAGGGAGGAGGCAGGAGGAGGAGGAGGAGGAGGAGGAGGAGGAGGAGGAGGAGGAGGAGGGAGGAGCAGGGAGGAGGCGAGGAGGAGGGGGGAGGAGGGGGAGGAGGAGGAGGAGGAGGAGGAGGAGGAGGAGGAGGAGGAGAGAGGAGGAGGAGGAGGAGGAGTGAGGAGGAGGAGGTGGAGGAGGGGAGGAGGAGGAGGAGGAGGAGGAGGGAGGAGGAGGAGGAGGAGGAGGACGAGGTGGAGGAGGAGGAGCGTTGAGGAGAGGACGCGATGCGCGCCCGCGGCCGCGCGGGCACGGGGGAGGAGAGACTCGTCGGAGCCGGCTCGGCCTGGACCGGGGGAGGGGGGGGGAGAGTCGAGGGAGAGGGAGGCAGGGGGTGGGGGGGGGGGGGGCAAGCACGGAGGAGGGAGGAGGAGATAGGAGGAGAGGAGGATGGAGGAGGAGGAGGAGGAGGGGAGGAGAGGGAGGAGGGGCCAGCAAGTCATCGAGGGGTGTTCTCCTGCATTTAGCAGGGACCTCCCCTTTGGATCTACAACCCGCCCACGCTGCACAGATTTCATTACACAGGCCACTACCTCACACCAAGGCGAGGGGAAGCGAGGCAAGAGGAGACGGCCGCAGCACGAGACTGCTCTTCTTTGTTAATTTCTGGTAACGTCGCTGCCATTGTGGGTTTTGGGGTTGGGGGGGAACGCTTGGGCGGAGTGGAGCACGCCAGGGCGGGGGTGCGCTGCGATCGCTACAGTAGGCGCACGAGCACCAGCATGTGGGAGGTGTTCAGCCCCTCTCCTTACGTACGATCATTACGGTTACCCTGGGCGGAAAAGGAGGTTTAGCGCGGGTAACGACTGGTACTCGCCAGGGGATGGAACAAAGAATCTCCACGAGATTGGCATCAACCAGAGCCGCGACAGATCAGAACGAAAAGAGGCATCTGCCCCTCGGGGGGGGGCACGCACGGCAAACTGAAGCCAGGAACAAGGCAAAACCAGACCCGGATCTGCCGACCCCCGCCTGCTGGGGATGAGAAGGCGGGTGAGATGATTGGCTGTCCCCGTCCCCCCTTCCTCCCCCAGGTTCCAAAGCCTCCTTCAAGAGGGGAGGAGGGGCATCTGGGCTCGCCGGCGCACCCCCCGAGGCTTCCGAGCTTCAAAGTCTGCCTTCCGTCGCCTCGAGACGTTCCGAGACGGTCCCGAATCGCGAAGCGCTTGGCCCAAGACGCTTACGTTAGCTCCAAGACGCCCCAAAGCGCCTTCGAGACGCCCCAAGAGCCTTCCCAAGAGGACCCTGAGAGGCAGCAAATCAATGGGTTTCCTTCGGCTGTTCATTGTTTCTAGGGTTATCGTCTTCTCGAGCTTCCGACGCTCCAAGACGGCTCAAGAGGCCCCGTAGACCGCCCCGAAACTGCCCAAGAGGTGCGAGGGCCCCAGGACGGCCCAAAAGGGTTCCAGGACGGCCCAAAGAGGGGCCCACGACGGCCAAAAGATCGCCCAAAGAGGGCCCCAAGAGGGAGAACACCAACCGAACAGTCTATCGTCCCCCCCAAGAAGACCCCCAAAAGGCCCAAAGAAGCCCCCAAGCGGCCTAAAAGAGGCCCCCAAGAGAAACCCCGAGACGGGCCCCAAGACGCTTCAAAACTGCATCCAAGAGGCTCCGCCAGGCCCCAAACGGCTCCAGAGACGCCCACAAGAGTCCCCAGGTAGTGCACAGTAAGCCCACGACGCCTAACCCCTGGACTCCCCGCCTGTTCTGGGGGCCCGCGGAATGGCGTAAGCCTCTTGAACAAAACTCGGGCATCCCTAGGGTCTGGCGGTGCTGAGGAATGCATCGGGCACCGCGGCCTTCTCGGGGCCTTCCGGAACGCTCTGCGAGCGCTCCAGAGCACTCTGGAGCGTGTCCCGGCCGGGGATCTGCTGACCCGGGTCGATCCAGACCCGGGTCAGTCAGGCCTTCAGGATCCTGGACGCTCCTGCAAGATCCTGCACCCAAACCCGGGTCAATGCGAAGGATCCTGCAGGAGCCTGCAGGATCCTGCACCCAAACCCGGGTCAATGCGACCCTGGCCCTGCAGGATCCTGCAAGATCGGGCGCTCTGGCCGACTCCCATTTGCATTGACCCCCGTCTCGAGGCTCCCGACCCGGTCGGGGAGCGGTTGTTTTCCCGGGCCCGTGCACGCAGGCCGGTGCACTGCCGTCCATCCTCGCGCGGCACCGGCAGGTCTGTGTCCTGCAGCCTGAGGCCCAGCGATGCCCGCGTACTTGCACGCTTGAGCCCTGCAGTTCCTCCTCCTCCTCCTCCTCCTCCTCCTCCTCCTCCTCCTCCTCCTCCTCCTCCTCCTCCTCCTCCTTCCCTGATCGCATGTGAGCGACGAAAACATAGGCCTCACGCGAGATGACACAGCGACCTTACGCCGTGGCTTACGCGGGCCGCCCGCGCGGCACGCCTCAGTGGAGACGAGGGCGCTCGCGCGCGACCTTACGCGGGCAGCTCACGCGCCAACGTCGGCGAAGACGACCCCGCTTCGTGGCGCCGCTCCCTTGGCTCTCCACTGCGCCGTCCAGGCACGGCTTCTTTCAGGAGCTCCGTTCCGAACGGTTCTCCCCCGAGAGAGGCCCTTGGGCCCGTACGGCATCTGCGCATCGGGGGGGCACGGCCCCCCAGGCCGCGGCACGCGGGCAAGCATTCTGGCTTTCTGGCTGTGCGCACGAGGGGGTAGGGGGAGAGGGGGGGGAGGAGGAGGAGGAGGAGGAGGGAGGAGAAGGAGGGAGGAGGAGGCGGAGGTGGAGTAGGAGGAGGAGGAGGAGGAGGAGGAGGAGGAGGAGGCGGAGGCGGAGGAGGAGGAGGAGGAGGAGGAGGCGGAGGCGGAGGAGAAGGAGAGGAGGGAGGCTTCTCAGAAGGAGGCTGCCTCCGAAAGGCGCGGGGCTCACATGCACGGACGAGGCCCGCGCCCTCTCGGCAGCAGGGTGCTCCTCGGGAGCCTCCCCCCCTCCCCTCTGCGCGCGGCGGAGCGCTGCGGCTGCGACTGGGCGCGGGGAGGCTCGAGGAGGCCGAGCGGCGGGGGCCGCCGTGCTGCGAGTGCGTGTCGGCGGGTGCCTCGGCGGGGCCCCGAGGTTCAGAGCGGCTGCAGCTCTCGGCCACCTCACTCCGCTCGCAGTGGCCTGAAGCGCACGGGGAAACTGACCAGCCTCGAACTGATCCCCATCCCTGAGATGGGCGAGCAAAAAGCAAGGACCATCTTAGGGATGGGCCCTCGGAAACTGAGGGAATCCTCAAGATCGGCATCGAAGTGAGGCGATGTCAAACATAGGGACAGGGATCTGTTTCAAAAGCTGGTAAGAAACCAGAAGGAACAGATACTGCTGCTCCCCGGGCCTCTCCCAGGATGCGCTCTGCCCGGGACTCCGAGGCGAGTCCAGCGGTGGCGACCGAGGGCCGCCCAGGAGGCCCAGAAAGGGGATGGCGGGGGAAGGGCAGCGGCATGGGTACCTCTTGCCTCCTCCGAGCAGTGCTTTGCAACCGCGAGGGCGCCGAGATCGGTGCACCAGCGTCAGCTGCAGTCGGCAGAGAGGGCGAGCGCGGCTCGCCGGCCGAGCGGCAGGAGGGTGCAGGGCTGGGGCCAGGGCACCCCAGCGGCGCCGCGAGTGCCGACGGGTGGGGCCTCGGCGCCAAAGCAGGCCGCCGTGGCGAGTGGCGCCGTCACCGGGCGGGGAGAGGCCCTCCACACACGCAACGTTCGCGTTTCTCGATTCTGGGTTCTTCGCCAAGCGCGTTCTACTACTTGCAACGTGCCTACTCGCAAACGTCCGGAGAACATACGTCTGCTCTGATGTAATCCGTCGCGGATCCCCCGCGGGGGATCCAGGTCATTTGTGAGCAGTTACTTTGCGAGTAGCGGAACGCGCTCTTGGCGGGCGCCTTCTAAGAAAAGCAGCTTCCTTTCTCTAGAAGCCTTCCCCCCTCCCCCTACCCCCCTCTGCGCGCCGCCAACGCTCGTCGAGTTCTGGCATTTGGCCGGGGGGCTGGGCTGGTGCGCTTCGTCGCTCTGCCTCCGCCAGTCGCGCAGGCAGATTTAGGGGGGGGAGGGGTCCCGACCAGTGGCCAGGAGCGGGCGCCAAAGAGCAGCCAAAATCCGGTCGGTTGCAGGGGAGCGTGGGAGCGGGGAGGAGGAGGGGGGGGGAGGAGGCGGAGGAGGAGGGAGGTGCGAGGAGGTGGGGAGGAGTGAGGAGGAGGAGGGAGGAGGAGGAGGAGGGAGGAGAGGAGGAGGAGGAGGTGGAGGAGGAGGAGTGAGGAGGAAGGAGGGGAGGAGGAGGAGGAGGCAGGAGGAGGAGGAGGAGGAGGAGGGAGAGAGGAGGGGAGGAGGAGGAGGAGGAGGTAGGAGGAGGAGGAGAGGAGGGGGAGGAGGAGGAGGAGGAGGTGGAGGAGGAGGAGGAGAAGAGGGAGGAGGGCGGAGGAGGAGGAGGGAGGAGGAGAGAAGAGGTGGAGAAGGGAGGGGGAGGAGGAGGAGGAGGAGAGGTGGAGGAGGAGAGTGAGGAGGAGGAGGAGGAGGAGGAGGAGGGAGGAGAGAAGGAGAAGGAGGTGAGGAGGAGGAGGAGGTGGAAGGGGTTG